GCTCCCCCCCTTTCTCCTAAGTGTTCTGCACCTCATCCGTGTGGCAGCTGTGGGGCTGTGAGCAGGCAGCAGGTGTGGGGCTGCAGCTCAGGGACTCGGTGCTGGGGGGATTGAGGCACTGGGGGGGCTCCCCTACATCTCAGTGCCCCCCATACCTCATCCACGCCCTATGGGGCAGCTGTGGGGCTGCAGGCAGGCAGCAGCTGCAGGTTTGGGGGCAGGTGGGGGCTGCAGCCCCCCCCCATGCGCTCAGACTCAGTGCAGGGGGGCACTGAGGGGGCTCCCCTCCTTCTCAGTGTTCTCCATACCTCATCCATGCCCCATATGGCAGCTGTGGGGCTGCAGGCAGGCAGCAGTTGCAGGCTGGGGGGCACTGAGGGGGCTCCCCTCCTTCTCCTCAGTGCTCCCCAAACCTCATCCGTGCCCCATATGGCAGCTGCAGGGCTATAAGCAGGCAGCAGTTGCAGGCTAGGAGGCAGATGGGGGCTGCAGTTCCTGCTGGGGGGCACTGAGGGGGCTCCCCTCCTTCCCCTAAATGTTCTGTACCTCATCTATGATCTGTGGGGCAGCGGTAGGGCTGCAGGGAGGCAGGCAGCAGCTGCGGGTTTTGGGACAGGTGTGGGGCTTCAGCCCCTCTGGTGCAATCAGGAGCTCAGTGCAGGGGGGACGACGGTGGGGGCTTCCCTCCTCCTCCTCCTCCTCCTCCTCCTCAGTGCTCCACGCTTCACCCTGAATGACAGCTGAGGGGCTGCAGCCCCACTGGTGGACACAGAGACTCAGTGCTGGGGGGGGGGGACTGAGGCACTGGGAGGCTCCCCTCCTTCTCCTCAGTGCTCTGTACTTCATCCATGCCCTGTAGGGCAGCTGTTGGGCTGCAGGCAGGCAGCAGCTGCAGGCTGGGGGGCAGCTGTGAGGCTGCAGCCCCCTCCCCCCACTGTCTTCAGGGGCTTAGTGCAGGGGGCACTGAGGGGGCTCCCCTCCTTTTGCTCGCTGCTCCATACCTCACCCCCCCATTCTGTGGGGCAGCTGTGGGGCTGTAAGGAGGCAGCAGGTGTGGGGCTGCAGCTCATGGGCTCGGTGCTGGGGGGGACTGAGGCACTGGGGAGTTCCCCTACTTGTCCTCAGTGCTCCCCGTACCTCATCCACATCCTATGGGGCAGCAGGGGGGCTGCAGTTCCCCCCGTGCACTCAGACTCAGTGCTGGGGAGCACTGAGGGGGCTCCCCTCCTTCTCCTAAGTGTTCTGTACCTCATCCATGCCCTGTGGGGCTGCAGGCAGGCAGCAGCTGTGGAGTGCAGGGCAGCTGTGGGGCTGCAGCCCCCTGCTGCACTCAGGGGCTCGCTGCTGGGGGGCACTAAGGGGCTCCCCTCTGCTCAGTGCTCTGTACATCGCCCATGTCCCATAGGACAGCTGTGGGGCTGCAGGCAGGCAGCAGCTGCAGGTTTTGGGGTGCAACTGCAGCCCCTCTGGTGCAATCAGGGGCTCAGTACAGGGGGGACGACTGTGGGGGCTCCCCTCCTTCTCCTCAGTGCTCCATACCTCACCCACCATCCCGTGGGGCTGTAAGCAGGCAGCAGGTGAGGTTCTGCAGCTCGGGGGCTCGGTGCTGGGAGGCTCTCATTCTCACGCTCTGTGCCTCGTCCACCGTCCCGAGGGGCAGCTGCGGGGCCGCAGCCCCCTGGTGGGCACAGGGGCTCAGTGCTGGGTGGACTGAGGCACTGTGGGGCTTTTTCTCCTCAGTGCTCCGCACCTCATCCCGTCCCCGGGGAGAATTCCCCTCACGGTACCTCACGGCCCCTCCTCATAGAGGCGGAGAAGGAACGGACGGACAGCCGCCCCCCTCACCCCTCCCGACTTCTCCTCACAAACAAACAACACGCCGGGCGGGGCGAGAGAATGGGCGGGAAAGCTATTCCTCCTCCTATTGGCTCAGTTGTCCGTCCATCCTCTCTGCCCCGCCTCCCTCCGCGCCATCCGCTCTTACTATTGGTTTACCCTCACGTCACTCCGCGGGATCCGCCGGCCACGCCCCCCGCCCCCCCACCCCGCCTTCAGCCTCTGCGTGCCGTGTGCAAAGGAAAAACAGCCGTTAAACGGGCCGCGGGGCGGGGCCAGCGGAGCGGCCAACAAGCCGCGCGGCGATTGGCGGCAGCGGGACGTTCAAATCAGTACGGGGCGCTCCGATTGGCCCGGGGTCGCCGCGGCAGGCCGGGCTCCCTCCTCGCGCTCGGGCGGGTATTGTCTGACGGCTCTGAGGCGGTTCGAGCGGCGGCGGCACCATGGTGAGGAGCGGGACCGGGGGGCGAGGAGGCGGCCTGAGGGGGAGCGAGGAGCGGGGCCGGGCGTGGGGGCGAGGACTGAAGGGCGCGAGGCCCGAACCGCGCGGGCGTTGCGCTGCGTGTGGGCGGGAAGGCCTGAGGGAGAGGGGAAACGTCAGCGGCGGGGACGGGCGGCGGGCAGAACGGCGGCGGGACGGGGTTGGAAGGGGCCTCGAGGGGCCTTCGGGCATCTCGTCCCAACCCTGTGGTGTGGGCGGGGGTCTGAGTTCTGCCCCAATGCTTCCACAGAGGGGAGAACGGCAGAGCGGCCCAACCTGCTGCGTTTGGTGCTGACAGAGGGGCTGCGGCTCCTGTCCCGCGTTGCGTTGCCCGGGCCCTTTCCCTGTATTCGCAGCTTGTATTCCTGTTCGTGCCCTGCTCCCCCTCCTGTTCGTGCCCTGCTCCCCCTCTGCCCTTTCCCTGTATTCCTGCCCTGTGCCAGGAGGGCAGTGCAGAACGCAGCCCTTCCCAAATGCTTTCCACCACTCTCTCGCTTACGCATCAGTGTAGTCTCTCAAGAAGCCCCGTTTCAGCACCAGCCACCAAAGCGCTGCTCCTGTAAGGGCTGTCAGCTCCACGCTGTGCTGCACCGCTCCTGAACTGAATGCTTTCCCATCGCAGCTTTGCTGGTGGGGTTTTTATTCTCTTTTTGGGCTGTGCTGCCTTCGGGGTGCTGTGCAGGGATGTGGGTTTTGTGCAGCAATGCGTTCCCTGTGGGAAGGCAGCACTGTATTGTAGGGGTAACGTGCTCAATTAGGGTTATGTATGGACCCTCTTAATGACAGGACGGGTTGGTTGTGCTTGTGGAATCATAGAGCGGCCTGGCTTGCAAAGGAGCACAACGCTCATCCAGTTCCAACCCCCTGCTGTGTGCAGGTCGCCAACCAGCAGCCCAGGCTGCCCAGAGCCACATCCAGCCTGGCCTTGAATGCCTCAGGGATGGGGCATCCACAGCCTCCTTGGGCAACCTCTCCCAGTGCCTCACCACCCTCTGTGTGAAAAACTTCCTCCTCATATCCAACCTAAACGTCCCCTGTCTCAGTTTAAAACCGTTCCCCCTTGTCCTGTCACTATCCGCCCTCACAAATGGTCAAACCTGTCCTGTTTATGTGAAGTACTGAAGGCCCCACTGAGGTCTCCCCGCAGCCTTCTCTTCTCCAAGCTAATCAAGCCCAGTTCCCTCAACCTTTCCCCATAGGAGAGCTGCTCCAGCCCCCTGACCATCTTAGTTGCCGCTCCCAGAGCTCCACATCCTTCGCCTCCCATAGCTGGCCGCGCTCAGCCCCGTTGGCTTTACCCACCTCCCGGCAGCACCCCGCAGGACGAGGAGCACGGAGCGAGCTCCAAAGCACTGTGCTGACAGCACTCTCCATCCCGCAGGCAGGTGGGAAGGCTGGGAAGGACAGCGGGAAGGCCAAGGCGAAGGCGGTGTCTCGCTCGCAGAGAGCCGGATTGCAGGTAACGAGCGGCGGCCGCAGCGCTGCCATCTGTGCCACCTTAATTGCTGTAAGCACCGCTCCCGCTGCTGCCACAGTGCCCCGCCACGCCTTTTTCCCCCGTTCCAAGGTGAAGTTGCCCTGCTGTGCCTCGTCCTTCGGTCGCCGCTCGCCCTCTGGCTGTGCCTGCAGGGCAGGGCAGGGCCGGATGCTCCTGACGTGAGGCCGTGAGCCGCTGCCCGCCCCGCTCACCTGCCTCTCCGTTGCAGTTCCCCGTGGGCCGCATCCATCGGCACCTGAAGACTCGCACCACCAGCCACGGGCGGGTCGGGGCCACCGCCGCCGTGTACAGCGCTGCCATCCTCGAGTATCTCACTGCTGAGGTGGGTGCTGGGCCTCGGAGCTGGGTGATAACGGGGCGGGGAATGGGCTGCTCTGTAAGGGGGGCTGTCAGATACATCCCAGCCGTGGGCCGGGCTGCTGCCTGTTCACGTCTGCAGCACAGCTGAGGGGCTCTGAAGTGTTGCTGGAATGCTGTGAGCCTGGATTCCATGGGGCAGTGCTTTGGGGTGATGCTGTGGGGCAGAGCTATGGGGCAGCGTTTGGGGATTCTGCTATGGGGCAGCACTATGGGATGGTGCTGTTAGGCAGTGCTTTGGGATGGTGCTATGGGGTGATGCTGTGGGACAGAGCTATGGGGCAGTGCTTTGGGGTTCTGCTTTGGTGTTCTGCTGTGGGGCAGAGCTATGGAGAAGCACTTTGGGGTTCTACTATGGGATGGTGCTATGGGACAGTGCTTTAGGGTTCTGCTATGGGGCAGCACTATGGGATGGTGCTATGGGACATTGCTATGAGGTGATGCTGTGGGACAGAGCTATGGGGCAGCGCTTTGGGATTCTACTATGGGATGGTGCTATGAAACATTGCTTTGGGGTTCTGCTATGGGGTGATGCTTTGGGACAGTGTTTTGCTCTGATGCTATGGGGCAGCAGTATGGGGTGACACCCTAAGATGGCACTATGGAGCAGCGCTATGGGGTGATGCTATGGGATGACAGCGTGGTGTGATTCTATGGGGCAGCACTGTGGGGTGACACTATGGGGTAACAGTATGGGACAGTGCTAGGAGGTGATGCTGTAGGGCAGTGCTATGGGGTGACTATAGGATGGTGCTAAGGGGCGGTGCTTTGGGGTGACATTATGGGGTGATGCTGTGACACAGAGCTATGGGGCAGCACTTTGGGATTCCGCTGTGGGGCAGTACTATGGGATGGTGCTATGAGGCAGTGCTTTAAGTAACGTTATGGGGTGATGCTGTGACACAGAGCTATGGGGAGTGCTTTGGGGTTCCACTACGGGATGATGCTATGGGGCAGTGCTTGGGGCTGATGCTGTGAGATAGACCAATGGGGCAGCATTATGGGATGGTGCTACAGGGCAGTGCTTCGAAGTGACATCATGGGGTGATGCTGTGACACAGCGCTATGGGGCAGCGCTTTGGGGCTCTGCTGTGGGGCAGCAGCTCAGCAGAGCACAGCTTTACCAACATGAAGCCCCCTGCCGTGTCCCCGTTCCTCCGCAGGTCCTGGAGTTGGCAGGCAATGCCTCCAAGGATCTCAAAGTGAAGCGCATCACTCCCCGCCATTTGCAGCTGGCGATCCGTGGTGATGAAGAGTTGGATTCCCTCATCAAAGCCACCATAGCAGGGGGAGGTAGGTGGCACCCATGGGGGCGCCCATAGGGTGCCCAGCGGTACTAATGGCACCCATAGGGGCACCCAGTAGCACACAATAGCACCCAATAGGATCACCCAATGGCATTATTGGCACCTATAGGGGCACCCATGGGGTCACCTAGTGTCATCCATAAGGGCACCCATAGGGTCACCCAGTGACACCCCATTGGGTCACCTAGTGGCACCCATGTGGTCACCCAATGGCACCCAGTGGCACACAACAGCACCCGTAGAGTCATTCAGTGGCACCCAATAACACCCAGAGGGGCACCCAATGGTACTAATGGCACCCATAGGGTCACCCCATGGTACCCCAGTTGCACACAATGGCATCCAGTGGCGCCCCATTGGCACCCATAGGGGCACCCCATGGCATTAATGGTACCCATTGGAGCATGCAGTGGCACCCATGGGGGTCACCCAGTGACACACATAGGGTTTGCCCAGTTGCATTCAGTGGCACGCAGCAGCACCCATAGGGTCACCCAGTTGCACACAGGAGCACCCATAAGGTCACATAGTGGCGCACAATGGCACCCACAGGGTCACCCTGTGGTTCCCCAAGACACCCCAGTGGCACCCAATAGCACCCGTAGGGGCACCCAGAGGCACCCCATGGGGTCACCCACTGGCACACAATGGCACCCACAGGGGCACCTTGTGGTACCCTAGTGGCACCCATGGGGTCACCCATAGGCACCCAGTGGCACCCATGGGGTCACCCAATGGCACTCATAGGGGCACCCAACGGCATATAACAGCACCATGGGGTCACCCAGTGGCACACAACAGCACCCATAAGGTCACCCCAGTGGCACCCCATGACACCCCAGTGGCACGCATAGGGGTACCCAATGTTACTAATGGCACCCAGTGGCACCCCATGACACCCCAACGGCACCCATAGGCTCACCCCGTGTTACCCCAGTGGCACCCAATGGTACTTATAGGGGCATCCAGTGGCACAAAATGGCTCCCATAGGGTCACCCTATGTTACCCCAGTGGCACCCAATAGCACTAATGGCACCCATAAGAGCACCCAGTGGCAGCCCATGACACCCCAATGGCACCCACAGGGGCACCCAATGACACATAACAGCACCCATGGGGTCATCCATAGAGTCACCCAGTGGCACCCATGGGGTCGCACAATGGCACCCGTAGGGTCGCCCATAGGGTCACACAGTGGCACCCATAGGGTAACCTGTAGGATCACCCATGGGGTCACACAATGGCACCCATAGGGTCACCCATGGGGTCACACAGTGGCACCCATAGGGTAACCCGTAGGATCACCCGTGGGGTCACACAATGGCACCCATAAGGTCACCCGTAGGATCACCCATGGGGTCACACAGTGGCACCCATAGGATCATCCATAGTGTCACCCACAGTGGCACCCATAGGGTCACCTATGGGGTCACCCACAGTAGCACCCATAGGGTCACCCACAGTGGCACCGATAGGGTCACACAATGGCACCCATAGGGTCACCGATGGGGTCACACAATGGCACCCATAGGGTCACCCATGGGGTCCCATAGTGGCACCCATAGGGTCATCCATAGGGTCATCCATAGGGTCACCCAGTGGCAACCAAGGGGTCACACAGTGGTACCCATAGGGTCACCCATAGGATTGCCCATAGGGTCACCTGTAGGATCACCCATGGGGTCACGCAGTGGCACCCATAGGATCACCCATGGAGTCACACAATGGCACCCATAAGGTCACCCGTAGGATCACCCATGGGGTCACCCAGTGGCACCCATAGGATCACCCACGAGGTCACCAAATGACACGCATAGGGTCATCCATAGGGTCACCCAGTGGCACCCATAGGGTCATCCATAGGGTCACCCAGTGGCACCCATAGGGTCACCCATAGGATCGCCCATAGGGTCACACAGTGGCACCCATAGGGTCACCTGTAGGATCGCCCATAGTGTCACACAATGGCACCCATAGGGTCACCGATGGGGTCACACAGTGGCACCCATAGGATCACACAATGGCACACATAGGGTCACCCGTAGGATCACCCATAGGGTCACACAATGGCACCCATAGGGTCACCTGTAGGATCACCCATGGGGTCACACAGTGGCACCCATAAGGTCACCCATGGGGTCCCATAGTGGCACCCATAGGGTCACCCACAGTGGCACCGATAGGGTCACCGATGGGGTCCCATAGTGCCACCCATGGGGTCCCATAGTGGCACCCATAGGGTCACACAATGGCACACATAGGGTCACCCGTAGGATCACCCATGGGGTCACCCAGTGGCACCCATAGGGTCACCCAGTGGATCAAGGGGTCACCCAGTGGCACCCATAGGGTCACCTGTAGGATCGCCCATGGGGTCACACAATGGCACCCATAGGGTCACCTGTAGGATCACCCATGGGGTCACACAGTGGCACCCATAAGGTCACCCATGGGGTCCCATAGTGGCACCCATAGGGTCACCCACAGTGGCACCGATAGGGTCACCGATGGGGTCCCATAGTGCCACCCATGGGGTCCCATAGTGGCACCCATAGGGTCACACAATGGCACACATAGGGTCACCTGTAGGATCACCCATGGGGTCACCCAGTGGCACCCATAGGGTCCCCCATTGGCACCCAGCAGCGCGGCTCCATCTCGCTGCTCAGCCTCTGCCCCGCTGTTTCTCTCCCATAGGCGTCATCCCCCACATCCACAAATCTCTGATCGGGAAGAAGGGACAGCAGAAAACCGCGTAGGGATTGGGGTCCGACCCGGCGCCCGGCGCGGCCCAGCGCTGCGGGATGTGTGGGGCAGCTCCGCGGGGGGGCGGAGGGAGGAAACGTTGGGATGGGTTTTGTGTCCCCCCCCCAACCCTGAGGGGCGGCGGCCGCGCCGATTGGCCGAGGTTTCTCCCGTGTGTTTTATACCGAAATGGAACGGATAAACCATTTTTTACAAACGCGGGTGGCTGCTGTGTGGGCTTGGGTGGGGTTCGGTTGTTTGCTGTGAGAGCGGGGAGGTGCTGGGACAGCTGTAAGGGAGTGCGGGCGCCCCGTCCGTCCAGAGGGATGGAAAGGTGGGCTGGGCTGAGCCCCATGAGCTTCAATACAGCAAGGTGTGGAGTTGGGCGCTTGGGCCGGAGGAATGGCAGCAATCCGTACCGACTGGAAGGAGCGGAACCTGAGAGCAGCCTGCGCAGAAGGAACTGGTCCTGATGGATGAAAAGCTGAACGTGAGCCAGCAGGGGGTGATTGCAGCTCGGGGTCCTGGGCTCCATCAGAAGCAGGGTGGCAGCAGGGACAGGGAGGTGATCGTCCCCCTCTGCTCTGCTCTCGTGAGGCCCCATCTGCAGCACCGCGTCCAGGGCTGGAGCTCCCAGTACAAGGAGGACAGAGAGCTGTTGGAGGGGGTCCAGAGGAGCCACAGAGATGAGCAGGGCTGCAGCACCTCCACTATGAGGACAGGCTGAGGGAGCTGGGCTTGTTCAGCATGGAGAAAAGAAGCTGTGGGGTGAATCGTTGCAGCCTGCAGTACCTAAAGGGAGCCTACAGACAGGAGGGGAATCAACTCTTGGAAAGGGGAGATAACAGCAGGACAAGGGGAAATGGTTTGAAGTTGAAGGAAGGCAGATTTAGGTTGGATGTCAGGGGGAAGTTGTTTGCTGTGAGAGCGGTGAGGTGCTGGAACAGCTGCCCAGAGAGGCTGTGGATGCCCCGTCCATCCCTGGAGGTGTTCAGGGCCGGGTTGGATGGGGCCCTGGGCTGCTGTGAAACGTGGAGGTTGGTGGCCCTGCATGTGGCAGCGGGTCGGAGCCTCGTGATCCTCGATGTCCCTCCCAGCCCCGCCGTTCTGTCGCGCCGTTGGCGCAGCCGAGGGACGCGCGCTTTTCTCTGCCCCACAACCGGCGGAGCCCCGGAACCCCGCGCCTTCCCGCCCAGAATGCAAATAGCCGCTTCGGCCACGCCCACTATGCAAATAGAGGGGCGGTACCCGCGACTGCAGCCACGCCCCCCGCCGCCCGGCGGTGCTGCTGGCGGTGCGGGTCCGTCCGGCGGTCCGTGTGTCCGTCCGTGCCGTGAGGGCCGCGCGGTGCCGCACAGCCGCCCCGCCTGCGCCGCGGCCGAGGAGCAGCACCCCGCCCCGCACCGCCGCGGGGCTCGGCCCGCTCACGGCGCCTGTGCCCGGCACAAGATGGCGGCGAGAGGCGCCGGGCGAAGCACGCAGCGCCGTTCCGCGCCGCCGACGCGCCGCAAGGCCCCGCGCGGCCCGCAGAGCCCGGCCGGGAGGCGGCGGACCGGCGGACCCCGCGCTCCGAGCGGCGGCGCGGCCCGAAGCCGCGCGACGGCGGCGCCGCGCGGCCCCAAGATGGCGGCCCGGAGGAACCCGGCCCCGCCGCCGCCGCACCGCGCGTGCGCGGCCCGCTCTCCTCTCCGCGCGTGCGCCTCCCGCCGCGCGCTCTGTGCGCCGGGCCGCTCCACGCGGGCGGGGGGGGAGGAGCTCCGGGCCGATCGCCGCTCCCCCTCCGCCCGGCCGCGAAGACGGCGCTCGGCCGGGCGGCCCCGCGCCTCTCCGCGCCGCTCCGCCCGCCCGGCGCTCCTCGCGGCTCTCGAGAAACCGGCGGCGGCGCGGGGAGCGCCGGGCGTTACGTAACGCTCCCCCCCCCCGCCCTCCGCGCGTGGTTCCGTCGCGGCGCGCTCGGCGCACGCCATTGGTCGGCAGCCGCGAGCGGGCGGGGCGGCGAGGGTATAAATAGGAGCGAGGCGGCCGGCGCCGCTCTTAGTTCGCCGCTTCCCCGCCGCGCGTCGCCGCTCTCCGCGCTCCGCTCCGCCCGCGCCCGCCGCCCTCCGCCATGAACGGGCAGCTGAACGGCTTCCACGAGGCGTTCATCGAGGAGGGGTCGTTCCTCTTCACCTCCGAGTCCGTGGGCGAAGGGCACCCAGGTGCGGGCCCGGCGGGGCGGCCATCGCGCAGGCGCGGCCTCGTCGGAGCGGGGGAGGGGCGGGGTGGGTGCGGGGTGGTCGCGCGCGCCGGGTTCCCGCGGGTCGCCGGGCGCGCGGAGTT